TGGACTGCTAAAAGAACTAACAGATCTGTCCTGGAGGAAGTGCAGCCAGAATGCTCCTTGGAAGCAAGAATGGCCAGACTTTGTCTCACCTATTTTAGTCATGTTGTCAGAAGGGATCATTCCTTAGAGAAGGATATCATGATTGGTAGGGTGGAGGGTCGACGAAAGACATGGAGGGAGGCCTTCAACAAGATGGATTGACACGGTGGCTGTGATGATGGACTCAAGTATAGAAGGGATTGTGGAGCCGGCGCGGGATCAGGCAGTGTTTCGTTCTGCTGTGCATGGGGTCACTATGAGTTGGAAACGACTCAGCAGTACCTAACAACAAAAACAAAAGAACATCATGATGTACATCCATTACCACTATTAGTCTGCAAATTATTTTATCACCACTAACAGAAACTCTGTAGGAGTTCTGGTGGTGTAGGGGTTAAGGTATCTGGCTGCTAACCAAAAAGATCAGTGGGTTCAAACCCACCAACTGCTCAGTGAAAGAAAGATGAGACGGTCTACTTCCGTAAAGATTTACAGTCTTGGAAACCCAATGGGGATTGCTGAGTCGGAATCAACTCGATGGTAGTGAGTTTGGTTTTGAGTTTAATAGAAATTCAGTGCCCCCTAAGCAATGACTCCTTTCCTCCTCCCTCCCACCCTGGTAGCCAGTAATAAGCTTTGCTCTCTATACATTTATCTATTTTATGTAAGTGGAAGTACACAGTGTTCTTTTGTGAATATTTCACTCTGCATGATGTTTTCAAGGTTCATTCATGTTGTAGTATATATCAGGACTTCATTCCTTTTATTCCATTGTATGGTTTTACTGCATTTTACTGCATTCATCAGTTGGTGGACATTTGGGTTGGTTGTATTTTTTGGCTATTATGAATAATGCTGCTATGAAAATTCATGTAAAAATTTTTGTGAGAACATATGTTTTCAGTTATCTTGGGTGTGTACCTAGGTGTGGGTTATTGGGTATTTTGGCAACTCCGTTTACCTTTTTCAGGAACTGCCAGACATTTTAAAAGTGGCTATACCACTTTGGGGAGCTCTGGTAGCGTAGTGCCTAAGGCACTTGACTGCTAACCAGAAGGCTGACAGTTCAAACCCACCAGCCACTCCTCAGAAGGAAGATGGGGCAATCTACTTCTGAAGTGATACTGCCTCAGAAACCCAAGGAGGGGTCTCTATGAATCGGGTCCGACTTGACGGCACATAACAACAACAACAATGTACCACTTTGGAGCTGTGGTAGTACAGTGCCTAAGGCATCTGTTAACCAGAAGGTTGGCAGTTCAAACCCACCAGCCACTCTGTGGAAGCAAGTCTAGGCAATCTACTTTCGAAATTTACTGCCTCAAAAACCCAAAGGGGGTCGCTATGAATTGGAATCGACTCAACGGCAGTGGGTTTTGGGTTTTTTTGGTTTTGCACCATTTTACATTTCCACCAATTCCCAGTATGTGAGGGTTTCAATTTCTCTGTATTCTTGTGAACACTTGTTATTGTCCATCTTTTTTTTTTTTTTTTAAATAGTTATCTTAGTAGCTGTAAAGTAGTATTTCATGGTTTTAATTTGTGTTTCCCTAATGACTAATGACTACCTTTTCATGGGCTTATTGTCCATTTGTATGTCTTCTTTGGAGAAATGTCCTCACATCCTTTGTGCATTTTTGTATTGGGTTATTTGTTCTTTTATTGTTGAGTTGTAGGAGTATTTAATATACTCTCATACTAGATCCTTATCAGGTATATGATTTGCAAATATTTTCTCCCATTCTGTAGTTGTCTTTTCATTTTCTAAATAGTGCCCTTTGAAGCACAAAAGTTTTAAATTTTGATGTGTTTGATTTTATCTGTTCTGTGTTTTGTTGTTCATACTTTTGGTATATCTAATAAACCATTGCCTTATCCAAGGTCAGGAGCTCTGGTGGTGCTGTGGTTAAAAGCATTAGGCTGCTAACCAAAGGATTGATGGTTCAAACCTACCAGCTGCTCTGAGGGAGAAAGATAAGGCAGTCTGTTTCCACAAAGATTTATAGCCTTGAAAACTGTATGAGGCAGTTAGTTCTACTCTGTCCTATAGGGTTGCTGTGAGTCGCAATGGACTCAATAGCAATGGGTTTTGTTTAGTTTTTATCATGAACATTTATACCTGTGTTTTCTTCTAACAGTTTTAGTTTTATTCTTACATTTATGTCTTTGATCCATTTTGAGTAACTTTTTGTATATGGTATGAGGTGAAGGTCCACATTCATTTCTTTTGCATGTGAATATCCAGTTTTCTCAGCACTGTTTACTGAAAATACTATTCTTTCCATCATTGAATTATCTTGGCACCCTCGTCAAAAATCAATTGATCATTACTATGAAAGTTTACTTCTGGTCTCTCAATTATATTCCATAGATTCATTTCTCTATCCTTAACCCAGTACTAGATTGTCTTGATTACTGTAGTTTTGTAGTAAGTTTTGAAATCAGGAGTGACTCCTCCAACTTTGTTCTTTTCTTTTTTTTTTTTTTTTTAAGATTGTTTTGGCTATACTGGGTCCCTTGCATTTCAATATGAATTTTAGGATCAGCTTGTCAATTTCTGGGTTAAAACAAACAAATAAAAAAGCAAGCTGGCATTACATTAAGTCTGAAGATCAACTGGGACAGTATTGCTATATTAAAAATATTAAGCTTTCCAATACAAATAAGCATTCCTGTACACTTATGGTGGGTATGTAAATTGGCACAGCCTTTTAAGAAAATGATCCTGCATCTGTACACTTAAAAATGCTCTTTATGTTTACTAAAGTAACTTGATTTCTAAGAATTTATCCCAGAAAATAGAGATGTATGGCCAATTTATCTTTATATGATAAAAACACATATTTTGGGAGGACACAATTCAATCCATAACAGTTGGTGATCCAAATTAGATGTTTGATAGAGCCAATTCTGCTGTAAAGAAAACTGTATTAATTAGTATGTTTTTTATACTCAATGCTTGTCCTAAGGCAATCATCCACTGATTTTCATTTAGATAATTATGGTTTTCTATTCCCCGTCTTTGCATTTCACATCCTGATTTTAACATTCTTGCAGCACAATGGAAAACTATATCCTTTAGAAACAAGATTAGCATTTGTTAAAAGAGAAAGTTTGACAGTCTCAGTATTTAAGTGCTTTTTAACATGCATTGACATTGTTAATTGCTTCCTTGCAAATTTTAAGATACCCATCAATGAAATATTTATACATCATTTTCATATTTAAAAAACAGTAGGTACAATAATCAATTATTAAAGTCATGGTAAATTTTGAAATCTCAATCGAGATAAAAGAATTTTTAAGTTTGAATAAGGTATTGAAATGGAAAATTCACTGTTTTTTAACTTAAAAATCACTTAGACTTCACATTTCTTTCAAATGATCCCTTTCTCCCAGCCGTTTACAATTAGGAAAGGTCTTATTGTGCTCAAATTTTAGTGACTTTTTTTTTCCTGTTTTCTATTCATTCACTCATTCATAAATTGAAAGTGGGATGAAAGAGAAGTAGCACACGTTAGATTTTAAGTCTAAAAATTCTGTTAGATCTAGCTCTATAGCAATGATTTGATGAAGAGTCACAGCCAACTCTAGGGAATGATTTTGAAACGCTGGTTTTCACGACATAAGCTCTTCAGGATTTAAAGAATTAATTATGGGGTTGGCTTGAGTTCGTAGCCCAAGAGCTGTGTTCATTGAAACAGTCTCGGCTGACGATTGCCCAGGAGGCTCGGGACACCGCAGGGCTCCTCCCGAGGGGGCGGCGCCCTCCCCGGCTTCCCCTGCGAAACCGCTCTTGCGAGCGGCGGGGCGGTGCCTCTGCGCCAAGGCGCCCCCGCGGCCTCCACGGTAGTTTCTTCTGATGATGCAAATACTCAGTTCCCGCATCCACTTCCCCACAGAGGCGGGAGCCGGGCGCGCTGGTGAGCCGTGCGCCATGGGCAACATCCAGAAGAAGTTCACTGGCAAACGTGAGGGCAGCAAGCGGCCGGAGAGGGGCGCGCCGCGGCGAGGACGACCTCCAGTGCCCGGCGCGGACAAGCAGGGCCGGCCGCCGGCTCCTACGGCGCTGGTGGCGGCGGCGGCGGCGGGCGGCGCCAACGGACAGCCCGGCAGCGGGCGGGACGCTGGGGAATCCACCGCTACCGAATCGCCCCCCACTCCCGCCGGCCTGAAGAGCCAGGGCAACGAGCTCTTTAAAAACGGGCAGTTCGCGGAGGCGGCGCTCAAGTATTCCGCGGCAATAGCGCAGCTGGAGCTTGCAGGTGAGCTGCGCCTCGCGATTTACCAAGACCCCCGGGCTGCGGTTAATGGGATCTCAGAGCTACCGCAGGAGTAGGCGCAGGCCACCTCCTGAATGACAAGGTCTTGCATTCGTAAATTCCTTCTCAGGACCGAGGGCGTGTGACCTGACCGATTGTGAGCCATACATTGGAATGCGTAAAATGTGCCCTGGCGAAGCACATTGCATCCGCCCTTTACTGGCTTTCCTTCTCCGTGGCAATTGCGGGAATAGACCCAGCTCCTTGGAGCGCTGCATTATCAGCAGTATGTGGGACTGCAGCGCCACCGGAGACCTGAGTCGTCTTTTAATTCTGGTGAATTGTGATTTTGCTAATGGATTTTAACTGTATTCAATTAAATGTGATTTTAGGAAGTGAAAGTGCAGATGATCTAAGTATCTTATATTCAAATAGAGCAGCATGTTGGCTAAAAGGAGGAAACTGCAGTGGCTGCATTCAGGATTGTAACAGGTAAACTGCACGTTTTCAGGTTTGTCAAGAAATTGTTGTGATTTCCATGTGATGAAAGCAGTATTTAATATCCTCAATTTTCTGTACAAGGGTCTAATTTCTTATACAGGTCTAAATCATATTACTTGATTAATACATATGGTCGTAGATGTGCTTTTCACATACATGAAGACAATAAAAGGATTTTCATTTTCATTGCTGCCACCCTAATTCATGCTCTTTTCACATCACTTCTAGACTACTGAAACACCTTCTGACTAGTTTTTTTGCTTGCTCTCGTCCACTATGGCATCAGAGCAACTTTTCCACAGCATTATGTTGCTCAGACTGTTTTCAAACAGGCATTTAATATTGTCTTCGAGGTAATCACAAATGTCACCACACAAACAAAACAAAACCCAAACTCACTGCCTTTGGGTCGATCTGACTCATAGCAACCCCTCTTTGGGTTCCTAGGTGGTGTCTCTATGGAAGTAGACTGCCCAGTCTTCCTTCCCAGAAGTAGCTGGTAGGTTTGAACCACCAGTCTTCTGGTTAGCAGTCAAATGCCTTAGGTACTACAAGTTTTGTGCTCCCATTTGGTCTACGCACCAGTTCTTAACACTTACCCACCCCAGGCTCTGAGCCTTTGCCCATCTTGTCTTGCTTTCTGGAATGCCCTCTGCACATCTTTGCTTTTGCAGTCTCTGCTCAGCTGCCACCTTTTCTCTGCATCCGTGGCTGCCCTAGCCAGAGGAGGGGCCCAGTCTTTTGCACATCTGTATTGTCTGCACTGTCACTGTCACACTGCATTGGATTTAATGCTTCTTGAGGTCAGAAACTATGTCTTCTGCAGCTTTGTACTCCTCAAAGCACAGTACCTACCCATGGTACTCAATAAGTTGCTTACGGGGATGGATGAATATGTTTACATGAATAAAAGTTGTTTTTTTTTTAACTGTTAAGCACTAAGTCAGCTTCAGGAGTTCTTTGGCAAGAAATGAGTAGTAGTGTGTCTGAAAAAAAGTCATATTCTGGTTTGACTGATAGAGTTCTGGTTGTCTGTGTAATTATTAATACCACCTTCTTTCATTCTCAGAAGTTCTAGGTTCAGTAAAGTATGTGGACACTGTTTATAAGTTGAACAATTTATTATTGTTTCCATTGGCAGTATCATTTTATTGATAAGGGTAAAAGCTTTCTAGGAGCTCTGGTGGCATAGTACCTAAGGCATTTGACTGTTAATCAGAAGGCTGGCAGTTCAAACCCACCAGGCACTTCTCAGAGGGAAGATTGGGTGATATACTTTCATAGTGATACTGCCTTGGAAACCCAAGGAGGGGTCGCTATGAATCGGATCCTACTTTGACAGCAGTAAGTTTGGTTTCAAAGCTTACTAGCATCTGTGCCTAAGATATTTTGAGAGACCCTTGGGTATATGTCAGTTTTACATATTCACATTTAAAATAAATAATGTTTATGTTCAATTTTGCCTGACATTAGACATCATCCATTCAACAATGGCTTGCACAAGCTAATCACATTTTCAGGATTTTGTAAACCATTTTATGTCAGGTTGGTAGCTTTAAATCCGTAATGCTAGGAGTACTGTTACCATGAAAGTTGGCAAACACCACAAGTCTGATCTTTTTTTCTTTCACTGGAGAGCCAGTTGTTAAACATTTACCCCTGCCCATACTAACCACCGAGACTAAATGCATCTGCAGGATACCAGGCACTTTGTGATTTGCAACTAAGAACCTTTCAGCTCAAGTGTTTGTTTCTATTACATTACCCTGCAGCTTTGTTTAATGTCTGTCTTTAGTGAGCAAATTCAGAACTCCTTAGTTAAAACTTGGGGCCCTTCAAGTTATGGCTACTGTAGAACAATGGGCTTCTTCTGATCTTACATGAGAGCATTTAAGGAGCAGACATTTAATAGCGTTAAGTTCCTTACATTCACTGTAGACCCAGGAGGGAGTCCAAGATGGCACTCTAGCCATGACATCCATGGGGTGTGGAGTGGGAGCTTGCCGTAGGGAAGAGGGGGAGAGGTCTTTCAGGGGAGATTTAAGTAAGGTATCGTTAGATAAGAGCTGTGTTCTGGGCCAAGGAATCTGGATCTGCTAGTCAGTGCTGGCCTCCAGAGAGACCGACCTACTTAGATGTTTTCTTGGACACCTGGCATATGAGTCCCAGCATAAGGGCCATGGAGCTGATGCCCAGTAAGGTGTGATTTTACTCCAGAGCAGTGGTTCTCAAACTTGTAATGCCAGAGAAGCCATGGTGTGCTTTTTTTTTTTTTTTTTTTTAAATTTTATTTGGATTTGGGTGAAGATTTACAGAGTAAATTCACTTTTCAT